TTCATCTCGAGTGTCAATCGGGAGTCGGGATGCAAGCAATGCCAAAGATGGGCGTAACAGACTAAGAAGTAGGTTTTGAAGTGGGAGAGAGAACGAGAATCTAGAGCAAAATAAGAAACGCGCGTAACGCATGTGCGTGTGATGTAAATGAATTTAAGCTCGGTTTTATGTGTTGATGCACATGAACGTGCTGTGAGCTTCGATCCTCCTTCACTCACGTGGCGGTACTCAATTTTAGTCGCGTTTGACTAAACACTCAAATCTTATACGTTACATGAGAATATACGTGGAAACACCAATTTCTGTAATGTTCAGTGATATAGAGGTATGCATCCAAAAAGTTTACACTATTTACTCAGAAGTTGGTACATTACCTTGGAAATATTTAAAAATAATGTTTTATATAATCACGCGAAGGGAATCTCAATAAAAAAATTAAATAGAACGTTTACTTAAACTCCCAGCTACCTATCAGGATCATAGCTATATTCTCGTCTATTAATACTACATACTATACGTTGCTTTCAAAAATACTTGAAAAAGTAGGTTACAAAAAGTATAACTTTTTTAAATGAAAGAAACTTAACTAAACTTATGTTTTTTACGGCCGTTTATGATTATAATTATATTAATTCATCAGAAGGTAGTATAATCATGCCTACAAAACTTTGCCAGAAAAAGTTGTCTGCGCTCCTTAAACAATTTGATTTAAGATAGTTGTTGCAGTTAATGTGTTGTTAATCTATATGATTTGACAGATAATGGATTATTTTAAAAATCATCAGAGTATACTAATACTTGTGATTAATGAAATATTCTGAGCTATTTACAATAAATAGATATCATAAGAAATCTTATAAAATTTGGATAAAGTCTCAAAATTTAAGAACAACTTTGTCAATATATAAATATACCGTAAAGGGATAAGCGTATTCAATAAATGTCAAAAGCAAATGGTCCAAATTGTTAATAGATTATTCTTGATGTTGGCAATAATATTATAGCTTACAAAAAAGTCTGTTGTGTGGTTTCTTTCGTGTTGATTATAACGTCATTTTTTGATGGATGTTAAAGCTGGCCCGGCAAGTTACACGGGTTTTGGTTTTACAATTTTGCAAAATATTCACATATTTTTCTCTGTTGTTATATATATACTTTTTCCAATTATTACAATAATTATAATGCAGATTTAGTAAAATGTTAAAAGCTTGATTAGTTTTTGTTGAGCTCATTACTTTTTACGTATTCGATTTCGTTTAGTTAAATTCTTTATTTACTCAGATATCTTAATAAAGATGTTTCTCTGATTGTTAAATCATTTTTGGTGAATAACAACTTTTTACTGTTGCATCCAACTTAGCTATTTTCTGTTGATCTTTTTACTTTTGAGATCTTTCATTTCGTTGAATACTTTTAAATAAATAATATTAGAAATATTATAGCTTTCAAAAGGCACTTGATATAACTATGGTTCCTGCTACTAAAATGCCCACTGTGTGACATTATACTGTATTTGATTATTATTTTTGTAGTTTTGATATTTTTTGATGATACGGAACACGTAAAATTCACTTAATTTTTCCCTTTAATATAAAGTTAATTTTCTAATAGAGTTAGGTTATATAACAAGATTAAAAAAATATAAAAAGAGTGATTTAGGTGACCCAAACAAAAAACATGATTATGGGTTCCATTTTCACGGTAGACCTAAAGCGATAAGAGCAGATTTTGGTGTACAATAAACAAATCGTGACAAAATTTTGAAAAAAAATTTACTAGTGAAAGTTGTAGTAGGCAACAAAACTAGTTCAGTGATCGCAGCTGTACGAAGAGATAATCCTGATGTAACTACTCAGTATTGTCAGATAAAAATCAATAAACTAAAAATTTTTTTAATGTTTTATATGAATTGTAAATGAAATATTTATAACTCAATAAAAAGAGAGAGTAATCAGTCATATACAAAAATATTTAAAGTAGTATTACAAATGTTGCTAAGCAACTGAAAAGTTTGATCAATAATTTTTTCGGGAGACACTAAAATTGGTCTAATTGGTGCAATAAATCTCTAAAGAAATAGAAAGAAGCAACTTTGAAGAACCGCAACATTTTTAAATAATGCAATAATTAAAGAACCTACTAATTTTTTTCCAAGAATACTGTGGAGGGACATAAATTTTCTCTTGCCTTGACAGGTGCTGATCCAGGGAACATTTTAGGGGGAGGGTGGCCTAGGACACTAGCTATCGAACAAAAAAAAGGTTATTTATTCAAGTTAATATAAAATGGATGGCAAAAAATCACTTTTATGTATGTCAGAACTTTATTTGGTATGTTCTTTATTTGGACTAGTTTGGAAAAACTATAGGGTTTAAGTAACATTTTGAAGTTTTTCTTTCCTACAAAAATTTATTTTAAACTAAATAATGTATCAAAGAAATTCTGATAAAAAGACACGTAAGGTGCAAACTCCTGTGAATGTTCTTTTTTTCTTTACCATGAATACCTACAATTCGATTTGCAGTCATTTCAATATTGCAATGAGCATGTTATAATGCTAAGCCAGTCAATCGATACTGTACCATTATAGAGTTTAAACATGTTTTTAATCTTCCAAGGTTAGAAAAAGCTTCTTTAGCAGTGACTGCTGATAATAGTACAATATAGAGTAATATTCCCAAGTAAATTGTTAATTATCATAGTCTCTCTCTGACAGTGTATCAAGAACATAGCTGTTAGTCATGCAACTGGGTGTCTCAGCTACCAACGATTCTTTGATATTCTCTAAAGAGCAAGCGACGTACGTCAATTTTAGAAATTCATATAGGTCTAATAGATATACAAGCAAATATTGATACATCTTTATCATTCTACCAAGAAGCACATATGTATTGACAGCGGCACTTTTTATATAAGTGCTCTTTATATCATCCATATATGCCCTTTCTCAATATCTAATACACTTAAGATTCATAATATTAATCTACATAATTTTTTTTTCAAGAGATTTTCTTGAGAAATAAATAATGATGTGAAAAATATTCTCTTTGGGTGCGGATCGAACACACAAGCACCTATTTACTAGACATTTCTAACTTACCAGCAAGCATTAGAGTCATATACCTACTAAACCGAGCTTAGGAAAAGACAGATGAGAGAATTAAGAATGAGAACTTATCTAAACCTACGGTGTTAGTAAATGTACGCCTCCTTGGTAGCTCAAGTGGTAGAGCAACTGTCTAGTAAACAGGAGGGTGTATGCTCGATCCACACCTGAAGAGGATGTTTTTCTTATTCTTATCGGTTACATAAAAAAACTTTTGGAAAAAGAAATTATGTGGATTAGTATTATGAATCTTTAGTAAATTAGATACTGAGAAAGGGCATGTATAAATGATATAAAGAATGCTTAAATACAAGTACTGCCTTTTGTACAAACGCACTTCTTGGTACAATGATAAAGATGTATCAATATTTGTTTGTACACCTATTGGACGTATTAAAATTTTTAACTTATCTACAATCATTAAAGTCATATACCTACTACGTCAATTTTTAACCTAGACTGCCACAATGATCAAGTGTCAAGAAAAAATAGATGTTCTCAACGCCAAAGTCTCTGGCGTTATACTGAGAGACGTTCAATCAGAGAACAGCCTGCTGTAACACTTCGGGGTGTTGTGGCCATTTTCTCGACCAACCTAGTGGTGCCAGTGCGTTTTTTGCTACAACAAAAAGCCAAGAAAAACAACCTGAGGAGTTCAGGAATTCATATCAACTTAAAATTTTGTCAGCCTCTTTCTCAGTTATTTATCCCAATAGCATACTCACTGAAGAAGTATTCTCTAGGTCCGATTCCCCGACCAACAGTTAGCAGTTGGTCATCCAGTAAATGACCCAAAGATGATATATTCGGCTACTAGTATACCTTTCACTAGTCCACTTACAATACGCAGATACTCTAAGGGTAAAAGACAAGTAACTCTGGGTTCAGATATCTGAGCATCACGATCCTTGTCTACTAATCCAAACTAAGAACGCCAGCCTCAGTTTGTCAAATCATCTACTCGCATCGGCTCTTGATTACTAAGCATAATAAAAAGGGACTGAAAGTATCACCATTGGCCCTTTTCACGGACATCATAAATTTTTACGTTCCTTTAAATAGGTCTCTTTACTCCCGCTAGGAGCAGGCGGTAAGCGAAGATTTCTTATCGTAATGCATGGGTTTAGCCGTACCATACCAACTTAAGGTAAACAACTTTAATTACCTTCAGAGTCTAAAAAAAAGTTTAATTGTTTAAAGTCACAGTGAAAGTAATTTTTTATTTATGAGTTTTCTCTAACTTAAGTATGTAATACTTTAACTAAAAACTGTGTGAAATATGGCTTAGAACCTTACAACGATGCATTGGACGGAATTTTGATCACCAAAGTTTGCATCCTTGCTTTCTATTTATTTATAACAGCTACAACTTATCTGTCTACGGATGCTGCTTGCTTATACTTTGAGGGATAAGAATAAATTAAGATAAATATTTGTGGTGCTAAGGGAAAATGTTTATGAAAAAAGCAATACAAGTAGCGTATGGAACAATCTCAAGTATATAAGGAGCTGAACCTTCAGTTGAAACAGAACGTTAGTGAACATGCTCAAATTATTATTAATAGACATCCAATAACGAAAATAAAGGATATGGATAAAAAACTTGTATTGTAATTTTTAGCAAGTGAGAGTTCTCTCGAATAACATTAAAAAAGAATCAAGGAATGAATTGATATCAATTTTTGATGTACCATATCTAATGTGTCTAGCCTTGACTTGAGTCTCAATTGGTAAAAGAAGTAATAATGGGATGGACTAAAACAAAACGGTCGGTACAATCATAAACACTGCTGTAGGCAAATATCGATGTTACATAGCTATGCTGAAAATTTTGCAGTTATTAGCGATTCACGATTTAATGAGGATGTATAAATTAGATTGTCATCATTTGCAGGATCTTTACACGCTGGCTTTGGTAACACAGAAGTCAGTAAATTATTTAATGTTCCGAACATCTCAAGTATGAGTTTCAATGCTTTAAAAAGAAGTAAAAAAGAAATTGGACCTATCGTAGGAGACGTAGCTCAGTAAAGTTGCATTTATGCTTGCAAAATGGAGATACAGCTGACATTAAAAAACATTGATCTTATAAGAAACAGTTTGTAAGTTTAAAGAGGTGAATTATTTACAAACCACTAAATTTTTCGATCTCATATTACTTGTTAAAGCTATATTTTACTGAAAATTTGACAATAGCGCTACTGTGTGATTTCTATTCTTTAATTTTCACATAGACACAACGGAGAACTAAATTATAGACTGCTACTTAGTTTAACTGTGGATATTTGTCCATCAGTTTATTATCTATCAATCAATTCATGCATTTATTGATTCATCTGTACTCAAAAAACAAAGTGGTTGTATTTTTTTATCATTTAATAGTAGGAAATTTGTTTCAGAACAATAATTACGTCTTAATTTCCCTGAGGCCTGATTCAGTTGAACCAAATTTTTTTACGTCTACAAAGTTCAATCCAGCCAATCTAAGTTGTATTATTATTACAAAAATAAATAAAATAGATTTGTTCACTTTTCCTAAAAAAGAAACAAATCATTAAATGACGATGGTAAAACTATTTGGCAGTTTTGATGTGGATTTGCAAACACAAGGCTGTGGATTCTTATATGATAGTTTGACTAAAACTGCTCATCTCATAGGCTGGTTTACTGGTAAAGCGTTAGGGTTTGCAATAAAGAATCGAAAATTTAGGTTGTGTAAGCATGATCACGCCAAGAGTGTCCATAATTGCAGATCAAATTATCATGGAATTACCAAATGGATGAGATAAAATTGACAAAAGTAAACATCTTGACAAAGACCTGATGCCTAACGTAACAAAATATTTACATAAATGTTCCATGTATGCTGTATCTGAAATCCCTTGATATGTGAGTGACTTACGCCATAAGAAATATACCATTTCACGTGTTTGATATCCAGGATAACTGTGCCAAATGATGTAAGTATGCTGAGGGCATAGAAAACTATAAGCATGCATCCATGTTTTAAAACCAGCGTAATTAATTATCTTTGAAGAATCAGTACATACTTTTTTGAAATTATCTGAAAATTATGAAAAATTATATTTCTGTGCATTTTGTGTATAAGGATACAAAAGTTAAAATAATATAATTATTAAAAAAACTCCCAAGTCCTTATCCTATGAAGATTTTGAATCGTACGACTATCAAGTGACTTTTGAGTGTTATAGCTCAAAAAAATAAGGGTGAAATTTATTCACAGAAAACTTGTAATAAATATAATTTAAATCCTGATTACACTTATCAAAACACTTATGGTAAACTATGAAATCAGTTTAAATTTAAGCTCAAAATGCTAAAACTCCTGCTATTAAGCTACATCAAGAGAATGTACAAAATCGAAGAGTGATTAATATTTATATTTGTTCCATTACTGAACTTCATTAAAACTTTTAGAATGAACTAAAATTTAAGTGACCTATAATAAACAAAATTTTCCAGATACCCACCAAGTTTACCTTTTCAATGAACACGGCACAACTACAATGCAGTTTCTGCACTTTCAGTGTGTTTTGATATATGCAACAAACGCAAGTTAATGTTGTAAACTTGTAAACTTATTATCTGAATAATGGTGTAATACAACTTGCTATATTCGGTGTTAAACTTTTCGTTTATTGAACAAGCTTTTATTTTGTATGTGTCTCATCAATTTCATATCGCTGGAACAAGTGATGCAAAACTTTGATGTAAAATTTTTTGTCTCTGCCATAAAGCCCATGTTAAAAAATATAATTTTTATCTTGATTTTCTTGAAAACTATGTTGTGAATCGATCTGAAATTTTGACACTTTATTTCTTATAACCTTATACTAAGATTTCGAAGGTTTTTACAACATTTTTATCGTTTTGACTTAGTGGACGAACCTCTTTAACTACCATCAAAAACATCTAACGTTGAAATACCTTGCCAAAAAGTTGAACTAACTCAGTAACTTATTGGCTAATACTAAAAGCCATGAATCACCCACTCTCTCTCGAAGGTCTGTGATTGGCCCATTTGGTTTATTAGTATAGGGGCCATCTAAAGTTGATTTTCCTTACCACAAAAAAATATGTTACGACTTAACAAAGTTGGCAAAATATAGCCCTTAGGGCTTACAAAAGTTTGAATGCCTTGAATGTTTACAATTAAAGGTGTCAAGAAATCGACGCAGAATTATCTTACATTTATCAAGATTAGCACAACAGCATCAAAATCTAGAAATCAATTATCTTTTGATGATGGATAAATATTTTATATCAAATCATTTCCTTGACAGTATTAAACGTTATAATACTCAATTCCAAATAACTTTATTTGAAAGAAAAAAGATCAGGTAAAGAAACTTTCAGCCAATTTTCCAAATTCAAACTTTTGAAATTATTACAAAAAATTTCTTATGATTGTTATTCCCTAGAAAAGACTTTTGAATCCAGTTATAAAATTTGAACATGAAGAAGATGACCTCAAAAATTTAATGTTTATTATTTGTGCTGACCAAACTCAAGTTAATCAGCATCGAGGACGATACATGTGCCCAGGTCAATAAAGTTACTGTACTAACAGTTAAAGAAGAACATTGTTTTGAATAACTAATATGAAGGAGTTTTTGAGCTTGACTGATTAAATGACCCATCGCAATATCCTCTTATGTTTGTTTTTGGAGATAGTGGATATTCTAGTAGAGATGACAAAATTTGCGGCATTCTCCTAGATTCTTTTGCAGTCATTTTTTTTAAGATTAATATTTATTACACCCCACAGAATAAGAATATTTATATTGCCAGCACACGACCTGGTTACGGTTTGTTAAAACCATGTGTTATAAACAACTTTATCAAAGTTGTCTTTTTTTTTATGTACCTTCATATTATTTGACAAATTTAGAACAAAAACTAATTGGGATGTGTTTACTCGAACCCCACAGTTTTCGAGTGAAATACTCTCAGTTTTAAAATATGCGTTTTTTTAACTTTCAGAGCCTTAACACAGAATGAGGATAAAATATTTTCATGAAGCAGACGACGTCAATATTTACGATCAACTTTACTTTACAGTTTCAAAAAAAGGAAATTTCAATTAGTTAAGTGTGAATATTTTTTCTTGCACTTAACATTTTAAGTGTTGTAAAGTGCACGCTAGTACAAGTGTGTACCTATATGTGTTTACAACACGCTGAGCCACATATAGGTAAACATACAGATTCACTTCACCCATGCGAGCGCACCCACTGAAACTCTCGAAATGTTAACTGCAAAAAAGAATGTTGTCATTTTTATTCATCGAAATTTTTTTTTTTTTCGAGATCATAAAGAAAGTTAAATAGTTAATGTCGATGTGATGTGCCCTCTGAAAAATTTTTACTTTCGTAATTTGGTATGGCTGTAAAAGTTGCAAAAAACGCATTTTTCAAAATTTTGATAATTTTTGACTCCATAACTTTGGGATTTTGGTATATTCATCCTAATTGGTTCCTATTACAAATATGCTAGAAAATATAAAATAATTTTTTTGGATGAAAAAAACAACTTTAATAAAATTGATACTAAAAAATTGTTTGAACAAATTGTAACCAGGTTGCACGATGGCCCACTTTATATTGTTATACTTGTTAATAGTCTTCTAACCAAACTGTTTCTTGCATGTAAATATGCTGGCTTATGTTAAGAACTCATACTCATTATCTGCTCTTTTATAAGAACATATTTCATTAATTTATCATGTGTATGATGACAACAATAACTACAGAGCTCTTGCTTTACTTGCAATCACACCAAAAATAACTGCATGCCGAAACTTGTAGCCCATGAATCAGAAAGTATATTTTGTCAGTCATTTCCTCTCAAGCAGTAACTCGTGAAATGCTTCAGAAAATTGTATTAAATAGTATGGTAAACGTCAGCCGCCACACCGTGGATTGGAGGAGCAGTGACAGCCTTTCAATCACGTAAAAAAAATGTTATTCCCTCCTAACTGAAAATTTTTTAAATAACAGATAACACAATTATTCGATAAAGAAAAGTCAACTGGCCGTAGATCATATATAATACGTCAGATGGTCACGTAAACCTGCAAAAAAAATGTTTCATTCAGTAATGTTCTCTCATTTGTCAGATGACAGTTTACATGCTATTTTAAATTAATAAAAATGTCAGCTGTCTCTATGTTGGTGTGAACGTCATCAGCTGATGTAGTAAAAGGTACATTATTAAAATACATTAGCTAACGGATTTTCCACCAACATAGAACCAACTAACGTTTTTAATCATTCGAAATTGCATGTAAACTTTTATCTAATACATTTTTAAGAAACAGAACATCCCTGAAAGGAGCATTATTTTTCAGGTTTGTGTGACCAGCTGACGTATAACCCACCATGGTACGGCCAGCTGATTTTTTTCATCTCCAAATAATTATGTTAACTATAATTTAACAAATTTTAGTTGAGATAAAATTATTGAAAACATTTTTTTTTTTTGTGATTAAGTAGCTGTCACTGTCCCACGTCCTTACAGAGTGACAGCTGACGTTCACTATGCTGTTTAATACAACTCCCTGAAGCAATTCACAAGTTATCATTTAAGATGAAATGACTGACAAAATATACTGTCTAGCTAACAGACTTCAACTTTGGGCATGCAGTTGTTTTTAATGTGGTTACAAGTAAAGAAAACTCTCTATAGTTATTTTGGTTGTAATATAAAAAACAAATAGATTAAATATGTTTTCATAATAGAGCAAATAACTAGTATTTTTAATTATACTCAATAACCTTCTAGTAATAAACAGCCAGTTATTTTACCATCCTTATTCACTGGTACGCCACGATGTATGCATGAAAAAACTCAAGATGCAATGGCGTAGGTACTTGCGTTTGGGCTTTCGTGTTGATTTATTCCCTTTACATGTAACCCTGAATAGATGAAGGTGAAAAATTAGGAGAATTTATAGATGTCCTACAGTGTCAAATGGCAAAAATGAGGCCTACCTTAGGTGCACTTACTTT